ACTGGCTATAACTTGGTCCAGGTGTGGAAAGTTTCTTGGGAGAGAAATTCAAACTGGGGGAAAAAAACTGGTTTAATTCACACAACAGGGAGGAACCAAAGAAAACAGAATAACAGAAGGAGACACTTACCTCTGTTCAAGGTGAAGAACTTTGTAATCCTCTTCCACTTTAATCATATAAGAGATGTCAATCTAAAGTCAGACGGGCAAAAATGCAGAATAGTTTATTAATTTGGAAGACCTTAAATTCTCTTCTCTTTCCCAGCTCCTAACAGCTGTTCATTTCGCATCTTGCCTGTGTAGAGGTAACGAAGCTTGGGGTGGATCCACAGAACTGAGGCTGCAGAAAACCTGTCCCAGCCACCTTCCATTGTCTTATCAACTGGATTAGACCAATTCATAATAGCTAGTTCTATCCATGAACTATTCAGTCTGAGAGTTAAACAGAATGCTCTTGTTCCTTACAACTCTGCATGGATTAATGGGTACGGATCAGACCAGCATGAGCTATGCAGTACAGGGTAGTATGTATATACTGTAGACGGATGGACTAGGGAGTCTCGTGTTCGAATCCCTGCTCAGTGATGTAAACTCAATGGTGTATGTGTGTGAAACTGGTAAACCCACTCCATACATTTCAAAAAATGAAAGGGACATGCAGGTTTGCTTTCCTCAGTATTTGCAATTCAGTGGAAACAAACTGCTCCAGAATGGTAAGCATGCCGAAGATTCACACCATTCCCCCAACACCAGGAGGAACATAATATTATTCAGCTAAGGAAATTCCAACAGGAAAACATAGCAAAATGAACAAGCAAGCTTTTTTTTAAATCCATCATTTCTTGTTCCTGTTTGTAGCAAAGCAATCCACCATTGGTCTACATAGCATGGTCTCTTGGACCCTCTAGTAGCCAGTTCTCATAATTTCATCTTTAGAACTATATATTTCTAGGATTTTTCCTTTAACGTTCTTTATATTTTCAGACTGCGGCTAAGTGAATCGATGGACACGGATCCCACAGATAAGGGGGTCCTATCGTTATCTAGCACACCTCATCTAATCTTATTTAAAAGGGAAATTACTTTGCTTCCAGGTATCCTCCTTGATTCCAGCTGTCTCGGCACTATTACTTCCGAATAGAGGTATTCTGATGATGAATCTGCTGAACCTAGAAAGAAGCACAGCTATGGGTCAAACCAGTCTTATGCCAGGCCTGGATCCGAGGTTGGTCGGATATCAGCTGGGGAACCAAGTGAACTTTCCTGGAGAGGACGTTCCAGGGAAAAGGTGCCACAACCGAGAAGGCGCTGCCGTGCAACTTGGGAAACCCCGCACACCATTCAGGCACCAAGTTCATGAAGGCCTTACAGGCGATCAGCAGCATTTGGCTCTGAATTGATACGGCAGCTTTTGAAAAAGCCCCCTTTAAACCGGTAATCCATCTAATCCCTGTAACGGGATTCCTAGTTCCTAGTGAACTGCCAACCACCCTTCATCCTGTCAGCTAAAGTTTCTGCAAAGTCTTCAAGCCCAGCTCCATGTACGACACATTACAGTAGTCTAGTCCTCCAAATACCAGTACCCTGCTTCATCCCAGCTGCCTTCATGAGCCATTCTGGTAGGCAACTGGTTTTTCTTGGGGGGGAGAGCAGGACACATCAATGAAAGGAGTGCCTCTGGAGCCACCTTCCAGCCACGCCTTTTATTCCCAGGGAGGAAACATTTCTACAAACCCACTTGACCTTCGGCCACCCACGACAAGGAGGGCCAGGTAGGATCTCTCAGAGGTCAGCCCCATGCTGGTGGCCCCTCATGTACAAACAGGGCCATGGGCTTTAAAGGCCAAAGAAGTGGGTGTAAAAGAAGAAGGAAGGGAGGGGGCAGAAAGTAACATCTGGGAAAGGAAGGCAACAGTTTAGGAGAAAAACAGAGTTGCATGATGGCAGTGCAAGAGGAAAGCGATATAAAGAAAGCTTTGGGTTGTTTTTTTTTTCCTTTTAAAATTGTTTAAAAAAATTATATCTCACACACAGAAACCCGAAGAGACATGACGTTTGCACACCCCACAGAGTCTCTGAGCCGGTGCCCCAACCCTTGGGTCTCCAGGTGTTCTTGGACTACAACTCCCATAAGCCTTCACCACCACCTCTGCTGGCCAGGATTTCCAGGAGTTGAAGTCCAAGAACATCTGGAGGCCCCAAGGTTGTGGACCCCTGCCTGAATAGACATGTAATTCCAAGCCATTCTGGAGGCCCCAAGGTTGGGGACCACTGCGGATGTCATTCCAAGCCACCACCTTTAGTGCCACCATCTGTATGGGGGGACCCCTTCCCCATAAAGCAGACCTCCCCCACCCCACCCTTCACATCTCAGTCTTTTCACACACCAGGACTGAGGAGGAGCAGGTAAAGCAGCCCCTCCAGCCACGCCTTGGCAACGCTTGGCATTTCCAGCCTCGGCACAGGGCATGGTGACCAAGACTGGACGAGATCCCCCTTGGCCATTTCCATTCCAATGAACCCCAAGCCCCTCCCCCTCTCCTCCTCCAACTGCCACCTGGTTCCAAGCCCCTCCCACCTCCCTGCCACTCCACTGAGCCTGGAGCCCCGCCTCCTCAGCCTCCCCTAAGGGCACCCTTGGAAATCCTGCTGTGGACCACTTGTGTAGGTTGGAGGAAGAGGTGCCTTGCATCACACTGGCTAAACTGCAGCCCTGCGGTCAAGACTCTGCTCACAACCCGAGTTTTGATCCTCAGGCTGAGGTGGTTGGGCTCCAGGTGGACTCAGCCTTCCATCCTTCCAAAGTTGGTAAGCAGAGTCCTCTTGCAGCAAACCGCCATCATGTTCCAAACCACCTCTAGCACTATAGCGCGGTACATAAGCAGCACACCTTGCTTTGCTTCGTTTCAACCATGCACATCTTTTTTTAAAAAAATAAGAATTTTCTTTTCTAATGCAAGAAAAATGTTACTTCTAGTTTCATGCAGTTTTTTTTGGGGAAGGGGAATTCCAGCGATGGGGGTGGACGCATGATTGGGAAGACCCTGTGATTCTCTGGCTTACCCCTCTGCAGAGGAGGGTGAACCAAAGGCACACAGAAACAGGAGGACAAACATTTTAAGTGGGTTCTTCTGAACCCACATTCCTCTGCTGAGAGGCGTCACAGACCATTGTGTGTGTCTTTTTCCTCTTAAATGATATGTGCCTTTTCCATAGCATTTCTCCTAGGCTGAAATCCCGAGGAACATGTCAAAGGATCTATCGGCCTCTCCTGTCTCATGATTTTACTCCTCCGCATCCCAAAACTTTTTTAAAAGATTTTTCAGAGTTCTACACTTAATCCCGATGATGTGCTTTGCAGGGCGATGCAATACTATTTGCATCACATTGCCTAACATTTTGCTACACAGAGACCAAAGGAATAGGCCAGGGATCAATCGAGCGAGTATCTGTCTTTCTAATGGAGCTGGATTGGATCCTCTATTTCTACCACTATCCCGGCCCTGTTTGCCAAAAAGAGGCCCCTTCATTTCAGGGATATCCAAATTAGGGTTTCAAGAGCAGCAAGCCCAGATTCCGACCGAAAGAGAATGATGGCCCCTATCCTGGCTGTGTTCTCAGAATGTGGGGTCTGACGCTTATATTGAAAGGCTGTCATCCAGAGGACGGGCAGGATCTGTTCTCCGTCATCCCAGAGTGCAGGACACCTAATAATGACCTCAAGCAGCAGGAAGCCAGATTTCAGTTGAATCTCGGGAAAAACTTCCTAACTGTTAGAGCAGTATGATGAAGGACTCCCTGCAGATACACTTTGATGTGGATTCCTGCCTCGAGCAGGGGGTTGGACTCCATGGCCTTAGAGGCCCCTTCCAACTTCATTATTTTATGATTCTATGATATTGGCAAGTTTTTGGGTACAAGTCCCAAGTTTGAGTATTTGATACCACGTTTCGAGTCCCAAGCCCCAAGTCAGAATCCCTATTAAAAACAAGATCCCCCCCCAAAAAAAGAGGGAAGGGTGGGTGGGTTCTGAGTCACGGGACAAGTCCGAGGCATTTGGGGGGGGGAACCCTGGGTTGGGTCACCGACACCCACTTTTTGCTTTGAATACGTTCCAGTTTTCAGATCTCTTTGAATGCTTCGATAATAAGGGTGCTTTTCTCTTTCTTTTCTTCTTTCTCATGTCCAAGTTTAACAATGTCTGGGTGACAAAAATAGTCCATCATTCATAACGTGCTGACTCCTTTGTCTTCCCCAAGAGTCCTTGGGTGCTTCGCATTGGCAGGTACAAACTTTGCTGCTTTTGTGCAGAGACAAATTTCCTGTGGATTGAATCCAGACCTGCTTTTGTTTTCTCAGGTTTAGAGAATTCATCCCAGAGAAAGGTGGAATTTGAATTGAGAACAGCGACGAAGGCCGGGTTTTTACAGTGTTGATGAAACAACACTATTTAAAAACATCTTCAGGCTTTGTCTGTTAAATATTTTCTTTGAAGTGGAAAGGCAAGGCATAAATAAATAAATATGTGTACATGTGTGTGTGCTTGTTTAGTTCTATCATTTTGGAGTAATGTGTTTTTTTCTTCTTGGACCAGGAAAAAACCCCACAAAAACGTATTCTTATTTTCCTAAGATATACGTTGTTGTGGTGGTGGTTATTTCTACAAACTGTCCCAAAAGGAGCATTTTTCCACCGATGGCGCATGCCTTCCTGCGCAACAAGAGGCCAGAGGTGTGCCTGCCGAGGAAAATAATATAGATTTAAAAAGAAAATCCCAGGCTAGCTGGAAGCCCCTCAGTACCTGTTCTCGAGTGGAAGCCCCGCCCCCTCTCCAGCTGTGGACCCGCCCACCTTGGAACCCTCACCTGGCCTTCCTCTTGCTGACCTGGCCATTGCCCTCGGCAACCAACCTGCAGCCTGAAAGCAAGGAAGGACGAGGGAGCCTCGCCACCCCGGGGTGACCCTTTTCCTCCTCCCTGTTGCTTCTGGGTTCAAGACCAACCTTCTACAGACATTACCGAAAATAAGAAGAACCCCAGGGGAAGGTAAAGTCACACCTTACAGTTGTTTACCTTTGGTGTGTGTGTGGAGTCTTTCCAGCTGGCACCCCTTCGCCCCAGCCCCTCAAGGGTCAAGGTGGGCATGTCAGCTGCATTTGCAGGTGATTACTGAGGAAGAGAAACCGTATCCCCCCCCTCCCGAACATTCGTGATTAACGGCCTTCAAAAAATTGCATCTCAGGCTGATCATCTCAGAGCATGTGCAGAGTTCAAAAGGGACCAAGAAGGGTTGTTTCATTCAAAAATGGTCCAAAGGCATCCAAAGCAGGAGGAGACAGGAGAGGGGAAGGATAAATAATAGGGCTGCTTGAAGTACATATGCCAGGTAGATGCAAAAATCACTCTATATGGCACACGGAGCCTCTCCCTGACCCTATTTAGCCCCCACCAGCCCATTCCAAATGAACTCTCTAGCTAAGCCCTCTGCCCACGACACCAAGCAGGATGGTTTAAATGTTTTTTTTTAAGGCTGTGGGAAGCGGCTAGAGTACCAAGTGATTACTTCAGAATGTTTACCTTTTCCCTCCCTTTTTTACACTTTATTTGAAAAGTGAAAAAAAACCCTGATAAAACAGGGCTGTAAAATTCTAAACACAAATGATGATGATAGGCATCCTTCAGTCTCGAAAGACTATGGTGTCGTGCTCTGTATGGAGGACTTGGAACAGCGTCTAGTGTGGCTGAAGAAGCCAATTCGAGAGTGGCAATCTCTTCCACACTGAAGACAAATCCAATCTGTCCCCTGTCCAGCTCCCTGGTTTTGCTTCCTTTGTGACTTCCTCTTTGCCTCGGCCTGCTGAACAAGGGTCTCTTCAAATTGGGAGAGGCCGTGATGCACTGCCTGCCTCCAGGCTGAACGGTCAGATGTTAGGGTTTCCCATCTGTTGAGGTTTATTCCTAAGGCCTTCAGATCCCGCTTGCAGATGTCCTTGTATCGCAGCTGTGGTCTCCCTCTGGGGCGATTTCCCTGCCAATGCTGTTATTTATTTTTCCACTTTTGATTCATACATCGCTATTGGCAAAACCATAGCTTTGACTAGGTGGACCTTTGTCAGCAAGGTGATGAAATATCGTCGTCGTCGTTTAGTCGTTTAGTCGTGTCCGACTCTTCGTGACCCCATGGACCAGAGCACGCCAGGCCCTCCTGTCTTCCACTGTCTCTTGGAGTTGTATCAAATTCATGTTGGTCGCTTTGATGACCCTGTCCATCCATCTCATCCTCGGTCGTCCCCTTCTCCTCTTGCTGTCACACTTTCCTAACATCAATGTCTTTTCCAAGGACCTTTTCCAAGGATAAAATATAGGTGAAATTAAAAACAAATTCAAATGTTAAAATGATTATTTCAATAGCGTTATCTCAGGCGGTTGCTAGAACTTTTTTTGTCCACCTGATGCAGCATAAATTACATGTACATACATGCTGCCTTGTTTGAATTTCTCTACATGCTAGCGAAGATGATAAGACTTAGAGGCACGCTCTGTCTGAGGATTAAACTTGGGATGAGATGGGAGACCATTACTTCCTAGAAGGGGGAGGTTTCGGTACCACCCAGGGCTATGTGACTGATCTCATCATGACCCATGGTATCACTCAGACACACTCTTTCCGAATGGCAATAGCACTTAGGAGGGTTGTCAGGATTGTGCATATTGCACACTCAACCATAGAATCTTTGGAAGACCTGACTGTGTCCCTTTCTGAAAAAACTTGCCCCAGCCGCCATTTTTGAAAAGCTAAGGTGCTGTGCCCATCCTCCTTTCTCATCTCTTAGTAGAGTTTGTCCGAGAGAAATTCCCAGTGAATTTTGCCCAATTATCTTTTGAAATACACAGAATTTTGTGTGTTTAGTCGTTTAGTCGTGTCCGACTCTTCGTGACCCCATGGACCAGAGCACGCCAGGCCCTCCTGCCTTCTGCTGCCTCCCAGAGTTGGGTCCAATTCATGTTGGTCACTTCGATGACACTGTCCAACCACCTCGTCCTCTGTCGTCCCCTTCTCCTCTTGCCGTCACACCTTCCTAACATCAAGGTTTTTTCCAAGGACTCTTTTCTTCTCATGAGATGGCCAAAGTACTGGAGCCTCAGCTTCAGGATCTGTCCTTCCAGTGAGCACTCAGGGTTGATTTCCTTTAGAACTGATAGGTTTGTTTTCCTTGCAATCCAGGGGACTCTCAAGAGCCTCCTCCAGCACCACAATTCAAAGGCATCAATTCTTCGGCGGTCTGCTTTCTTTATGGTCCAGCTCTCACTTCCATACATCACAACAGGAAAAACCATAGCTTTGACTATTCGGACTTTTGTTGGCAACGTGATGTCTCTGCTTTTCAAGATGCTGTCAAGATTTGTCATCGCTTTGCTCCCAAGAAGAAGGCGTCTTTTAATTTCGGGGCTGCTGTCTCTATCTGCTGTCTCCATCTGCAGTGATCATGGAGCCCAGGAAAATAAAATCTGTCACTGCCTCCATATCTTCCCCTTCTATTTCCCAGGAGGTGATGGGACCAGTGGCCATGATCTTAGTTTTTTTGATGTTGAGTTTCAGACCGTTTTTTGCACTCTCCTCTTTCACTCTCATTACAAGGTTCTTTAATTCCTCCTCACTTTCTGCCATCAGAGTGGTATCATCTGCATATTCTGGCTTGGGTTTCTTCCAGTCCAGCCTTTCGTAGGATGTATTCTGCATATAAGTTAAATAAGCTGGGGGACAATATACAGCCTTGCCGTACTCCTTTCCCAATTTTGAACCAATCAGTTGTTCCATGACCAGTTCTAACTGTTGCTTCCTGTCCCACATATAGGTTTCTCAGGAGATAGATAAGGTGGTCAGGCACTCCCATTTCTTTAAGAACTTGCCATAGTTTGCTGTGGGCCACACAGTCAAAGGCTTTTGCATAGTCAATGATTTTTAGTCACAGAATTTTAGCCCTTCAAATTTGAGTCAGAATTTCCTTCCCCCATTTCATTTGGTTCAGAAATAATAAGGATCATCGGATTTTTAGGCACATCCTCTCAGCCGTTTGCTGCCTTTTAGACTATCTGAGCATCTTAGGAAGCATGTTCAGGTTTTTAATACATCGTCATCATTTTCATCATCCCCATAATTGTGCACTGTCAAGTCTATTCTGACTTAAGGCATCCCTTCCAGGGTGTTCTAGGTAAACAGTACCTACCCTGCATGCCTGTCTTCTGGGGGTGCCCTGGGACTGTACAGCTTGCCCATGGCTACACAGACTGGCTTTCCTCCACAAAGCACAGGGAGCAGCTGAATTCCCAACTTTTGGCTCTGCAGCCGGCTGTCTCACCCACTGAGCTATCCAGTTATCTCAAGAAGCATTGAGTGCTCCAACACTAGAGGCATTCAAGAAAAACTTAGATAATCACCTGTCCGATCTGCTTTGATTTGGATTCCTGCCTTGAGCAGGGGGTTGAACTCCATGGCCTTGTAGGCCCCTTCCAACTTCATTGTTTAATGATTCTATGATACTTCTAGGGGTGCACTGGGACAGTGTAGCTTGCCCACAGCATCACTGGCTGGCTCTTCTCTTACAAGGCATGGGGGGTGGGGAGAATCAAGCTCCTAACCTCTGGTTCCACCCCACTCACTGAGCGATCCAGCCTGTTCCTTCCACACTGCAGTATTAAAGATGAGTCTTCATTTTAAAAAGAGGGTGTTGACTCTTAACTATTTGGATTCCTTGTTCTCTTCTTTTCAGGTCCAGCCTCTCACCCTCTCTTCATTTCTTCTGAAAGCATGCCAATATGCTGAACACCGAAGATGGAATCCCTTCCTGAAATCACCTTTTTGAAGAGCATACTCTAGTCTTCCACCGTAGAAACACACCGATCTAGGATTCTGTCTTCCTCTCCGGACGGGGGCAATTCAGCCGAGTGCCAGGTGGAAGCCCTTGATGCTTAGAAGCCGATGAGGAGCTCATGGATGCTTGTCACAAGGAGATGCTTCACCCTCCAAAGTGTAAGCATAAATGTTGATGACAGCTAAGGAGACACGGCTACGGATAGGTGAGTCGCCTTTTCTCAGTTGCGAACATAAGGGAGAGGTTATAAGGGCACGAGCAAAAGTAAATAGGTTTGATAACTGGGGAGGCTGCTGAGAGCTGTCGGTGGAGCCTCACGAAGGCTGGGCTGGTAGGAACGTGATGGGAGTGGAAGAGGTACTATGGGAGCATCCAGGAAAGGTGGGCATGACATTCATATTGCAATGGAGGGAACTCTCTGTTTTTGCAGACTTGGAAAACAGAAGCTGTTTTCCACTCTTGTGTAGATCTCAGTAATAACATAATTTAGAAAAGCTTTGTGGCAAGAGGAATTCTTGCTCCCAGAATCCCTCCCCCCCCAGCCAGCAGGTTTTTTTAAATTAACATTCCCAGGCTTTTTTATGGGAGGTCTTTGCAGTTGAATGTGTACTTGACCAAACTGACCTGGATGGGCACCGGATTGCATTTTTCTCCGCTTGTGCCGAATGACACTGAAAACCCAGACAATAAACTGTCAAATAGCATGGTTTGCAACAGGTGGGCCTATGATACCATCCCTGTACAGATGGGGGGGGGGGCGGTAGAAGAATGTCCGTTGACTAAAGGCCTAAAGGGACCCGATGGGGACCTTGGACAGCTCTTGACCTGCCAGGGCAGTGACTGGCTGTGCCAAAAAAGGGTTTTTGTGTGTGTGTGTGTGTGTCTTGTTTTTTAAGATTATGCTGGGGCCTCCAGCCATCTTCCTGGTTTATTTACATTTTCAAAAAAAAATTGCCTTGCAAATTTGATTTTCTTCTCCGTCTCTTCCTGTTCTAACAGGTTGATTTTATGCTGTAGAATATTTATTTTGTTGGGTAGTTCCTTCTTTGTTGATGCCTTCTTGAGCTCTGCTTCCTCTTTTTAAAAAGATGTTATTAGGGTTTGGTATTGTTTATTCCTTTCCTTTTTTTCTTTGTGCATTAAATTCTATTGCATACCCTCGGAAGTCTGCTTTGGCTGCATCCCATACTATTGTCATTCCTGCATCTTGAGGTTTATTTATTTGGAAAAAAAATGTTCATCTCATTTTTGATTTTGTTTACAAAGGCTTCTCTCCGCAATTGCGTATTACGTCTCCAGGAACTGCTCCTTGTCCTCTGCCTCAAGGTCATCAGTATTGGGTTATGGTCTACATACGTATTTGGTAGGATTTAAATATCCTCTGCTTGATGTGCAGCTTCCGCTGATATCCAGCAGTTGTCTATTCTTGACCATGATTTATGTCTGTTAGAATAGTATGTGTAATTTCTTCTATTCGGGTTTCTTAGTCTCCAGAGACCAATTAGGTTTAATTCCTCTGCCATTTCAAGAAACACCTTGGGTATCATATTCCCTGACTTTTTCCTCCCGTGTTGAATTTCTTTGAATGTGTCCTTCTCTTTATCAATTATTGCATTTAAGATTATGCTGGGGGCTATAGCTCAGTGCTTTGGCTGCTGACCATAAAATAAGGACCTAAGGACCTTCCCACCATACCCAGTGTGGAGTAACAGATAGAGTTGATGGACTAGGACTCAGGAGGCCAGGGTTTGAATCCCCACTCAACCATGGACGCTAGCAAATATCTCACTTACCTTGAAAGCCCTATTAGGGCACATAGCAACAAAAACCAACAACAGGGATTGGAGTCGAATTCCAATTCGAGGTTCTGATTTAACTCCACGTGCTGATGATGCAAGACATTATTGGGGAGGGGTTGGGTCTCAGTATCATCTTTGTGCCAACGGTGTCTACCTCTCTCTCTCTCTCTTGTACAACTTGAAGGCTGTCATGGATGGGTAGTGTGTGATACGCTGAAGATTGTGGTTTCATCTGTCGTGTTTCTAAAAAGTCATGTTGCTATGGTGTAGATATTCTTTTCCCTGAAAACTGAAGCAGTGAAAATGTTTTCCCAATTTTCTGGTTTATAAATGTAAATTTCAACACCGTAGTAATTGCAAAAGTATATTTGCTAAATAGATTGCGGACTTTTAAAAGAAAAAATTGTCTTATCCATCCTCACCACCTAACGTTTATAAGCTTCTTGTTTCCTAATTTCCTGTTAATAAATCCATAAACATCTTAATGCCCTTAATTAACAAGCCCTTCTATTTGTCAATATGGCTTTCGTAACAGAATTGATAACAGCTGGGACTTGTACAGAAAATTTCCTCAATAAGGACACTAAAACAAACTTTTTTGTTCATTAACATGAAGTGTTGCATTGCTTGGTAAGTATTCTTCCTTCTTTATTCTTTTTGACTCTACTCTGTTATATAAAGTAAGGCAAACAGAAGTAACATTAATATGAACTATTTGAGTTCTGCTAGGAATTAATATGTAGAGCCCTTATCTGTGAGGGCTTATTCCTATGTCTTCGGGTCTGTCCCTTTCAAATAAGAGACTCTGAATCATGGGTAAGCAGGAAGATAAATCTCCTTTTGTGCACTCAGGAGAAGGATGCTGCCATTGGAGAGCTCCTGACTTGGTTTCCCGTCCTGCCACTCAGATGTAGTTGCTGTTATCAGTCTAGATCAGCCCCTGCTGCCAGTAGCCCTGCCTTGCCTCTCTGAGGTGGCTGGGGTTCCTGAGACGATCACAGGGTCTACGGTTGACAGCTTAGGCCATGAGTGAACACAGGAGTGGTTGGCAAGCTGACCAGGCTGGAAGTGGTCTGGGACTGCTGACATGATACCATTAGCAGGCTGGAGGTCCATTGGCCAAGAAGAGGCACAGACATTAGCCCTAACCACAACAGCAAGAAGAAGGAGGAGGAGGAGGAGGAGGAGGAGGAGGAGGGGTGTGTGTCTTGGAGGACCTACTGGACCAACTGGGGTTCTAGCTACAGATGAGGGTTCCTGTAAATCGTTAGAAGAAGAAGAAGAAGAAGAAGAAGAAGAAGAAGAAGAAGAAGAAGAAGAAGAAGAACAACAACAACAACAACAACAACAACAACAACAACAACAACAACAACAACAACAACAACAACAACCACCACCACCACCATCCTGACGTGGGTGAGTCATGAAGCACTTACTGGACTAACCGGGTTTCTAGCTACAGATGGAGGTTCCTGTACATTGTTTTTCCAAACTAGAAAAGACCAAACAATGAAGCCTCAGGAGACAAACTCAAGACCTTGTTACTACTGGTAGGAAAGAAAAGGGGAAGACAAATCTCCAGCACTCAGCCGGAGATGTGGGCAGAGAAGATGTCTTCTCTAGGAATCAAGGCAGGGCCAGGCTCTTCCCAATCTGGTGAAGTCAAAGGAAGATCTTCTCCAAGGCTCAGAAATAAAAGGGAATCAGAGCAGGACCCATACTTTTCTCAACAGAAAGCAATTTTCTCCTTTTCTTTGACCCAGGTATGAAGGTCAAACAAGGGGGTCTTGAAGTCCCCCTGTTTCCCAAACCTATATTCTGCATAGGCATCCTTCAGTCTCGAGAGACTATGGTAACATGCTCTGAATGGAAGATCTTCTCCAAGGCTCAGAAATAAAAGGGAATCAGAGCAGGACCCATACCTTTCTCAACAGAAAGCAATTTTCTCCTTTTCTTTGACCCATGTATGAAGATCAAACAGGGGGGGTCTTGAAGTCCCCCTGTTCCCCAAACCTAAATTCTAGGAGATCACTTTTTAATGTATCAAGGAGGCTGGCTTAATGGCACATCCTGTAGCTTGCTCATGCAGAAGAACCTGACAGTGGGCAGATCACATCTTCTGCAGAGGAGTCAAGACGGACAGCTGCCATTTTCTGTGTACCATCTTGATTTCTTGCTCAGTCAATATTGCTGCTTTATGCAGATGAATATATTTGGTGCTTTAGCTACAGGCAGACAATTGTTCTTAAAAGAAATCAGTCTGACACCCATACCGTAATTTCTGATGGTGTGTGGTCTTGATCCTTTTGCCACACTCCTGTCTCTGGTCAAACAAATTTGTACTTTTGTAAATCCATATACTGTACAAGCATGCAGAATCTAATAGGATGAGTGTTCATGTCATGAGCCACGTTGTCTATGCAGCGTTGTCTGTTTGCTTTTTTATTTTACCTCCTGTGATCAGTACTTACAGAATATTTAACACTCTATCCCCCATTAAAAGAACAGATAATGCCTTTTTCATTATTTCCCAGACTTCAATAAAATCAGTTGGAGCAAATCCAATCACAATTTCTAACCATCAAAGAGTATGATTACAGTTGTAAAGATAGAATCTACTTTTATATAACAGGCAACAGAACTGTCATGTGTATTGTTCTGTGGCTAGCCAGAAATTGGGAGCATGATATTTATTTAAACTTTAAACAAAACAGCACAGAAGATTTGCTTTGGAGAATTCAAAGGGAACAGAAAAGAAGACTTTGAATTGGGCTACTAGATAAGGAAGGGATGGGGGTACGCTACAAGTAAAGAAAGACCCTACCTCTCCTAGTACAACAGGTGAAGGCTGAGACACGCAGCTTAAGAACAGTATAGATGGACTTCAACAGGAGAAAAACAAATATGTTCAGAGGCACCGAAAATAAGAGTCCTCTGAAGTCAAATGGAAGAAAATAATGTGTTTGACCCAGAAAAAAAGAGGAAACTGGGGAAAAGGAAGACGAAGATAGCACCCTCCAGACATCTGAAGGGCTGTTGTGAACAAGGCAGCCATGACTTTATTGCAGGTGTGTGTCTGTCAAGAAAGCTTTGGGGTGAAATGAGATGCAGAGGATTCAGTTGCATGGATGTTTCTTTACCAAAACGAAAACTCTCCCTAAGACGCAACACATCTTGGATAGATGGGCACTTGCCTGCTTCTTGTGCAGTGATTCAACCAACGAGCAGGCCACCAACGCAAGGTCTTCCTTGAGTGACCACTATGCAATTCTGGTGTGCAAGGCTTCCGGGAGACTCTGCTTTCATTTTATTTATTTATTTATTTATTTGATTTTTTTTACCCTGCCCCTCTAGACAACGTCTACTCAGGGCGGCTTTCATACCAGGGGTGGTTACCAGAGATGGA